TGACTGGAAAATTTCATGGGCGGAGGGGCCTGACAGACTACAGTCTATGGGGCTGCAAAGAATCAGACATGACTGAGCACATGCATCCCTGAATGCTATAATATCAAGCCTTACCTCCCATCAGGAACTAGGACTTGATTCTTTTACTGCTGTGTCTCCAAAATGGCCTTTGCTTTCCTATTTCCATGGCTGTGACCCTAGCTCAGGTTGTCATTCTCTCACATCTGTTTTGAAAATCCACTCCTAAGTGGACTTCCTGACTCCAATTCACCACCCCCATCCATCCAGCCACATCAGCAACTGATTACTTTCCTAAACCTCTGCTTTGACTGTATGACTCACATTTTTTCTAAACCCTCCAACAACTTATGTGGCTCAATAGTGTGTAAGCCCTGTATAGGGAATTCAGACCCTCTTTCACATGGATGTCCATCCTTTCTTAGCATTTAAACACTCTGTGTGTGATCTCCAGCTGTATAAACTCTTGAATACAGTCTGTACTTTTGATCTTCTGATTTAGCTTATGCCATTTGCAGTACCTTCCCTACTGCCAGTAAAATTTTACCAATCATTCAAGACCTAGCTCAGTACAAATGCCATCTCCATCACTTACACAATGAAGCTTTTGTCCTAGTTAAATAAGACAACTGTATCAGTTCAGTTCAGTTCAGTTAGTCATGTCTGACTCGACTGCAGCACACCAGGCTTCCCTGTCCAACTCCTGGAGCTTGCTCAAACTCATATCCATCAAATCAGTGATGCCATCGAACCATCTCTTCCTCTGTCATCCCCTTCTCCTCCTGCCTTCAATCTTTCCCAGCATCAGGGTCTTTTCCAATGAGTCAGTTCTAAGACAATTGTATGTGGGTGGTACAATTCTAAGGGATGCCGTCCATATCATTCATTATCTAGTTATGTTGAGAGAACATTCTCTACAACCATATGCAGTGGCTTTGCCTTTGATTCTTTACTGCATTTCTCTGTCAGCTCCTTCTGTTGATTTTTAACTAACACCTCCTTTGGTGCTTTTAAAAATAGATTATTTATACATATGTCTTATCTCCTTTTGCAGGCCATAAGCAATCTGAGGATAGAAATAGGTTATAGTAAGTTTTGCTATACCAGAGCTTGTTGGTATCACATCTGTGGTTAGAATGAAGAGGAATATGTGCTATGATCTACTCTATTTCTCTCTCCTAAACTGTGCTACAGGCAACCTAATAAATGAAAAATTCTGGGATGTCACATACGAATACTTGTCATCAGCTAGTTGACTAAATACATTTTTAACTTTTCACAGTGATAATTTCACATTTGATGTCAAATAATCACAGCTTTAGTATATTTTCTCCTAGAGGCAACTTCTTTTTGTTTCTGGCTCATTATCTACATTCCTTCCCTGTATTTAAAATATCAAGCCCTCCTCTTCATTTTCCAGTTATAGGTTGGAGATCTAACTATTCCATATGTTTTCTATTTTAGTGTTCCAATATTTGTCCTGGTTTAATTTGTTTTAGTTCAGGGAGGAATTTTTGCTACAAACCCGAGTCATTCCTTATACTTTCTCTTTTTTTGTTAACCAAGAAAATGTCTGTAATACAAATTATATCCAATTTTTAAAATATATAATTACAAGTTCACATTTCATTTCTATTTTGATACTTTTTACTATGGTTATTCTTATTTCTTGGAAGACTTCCTCTCCTACCATGCCCCAGCCTATCCTCCCTCCACCACATCCCTTTCCCCAAATTATATTCAAATTTCCTTGGCAGGTTTTAAACCTCTGCTGTTAAAGAGAACAAAGTTTTCTCTATGTAATGGGTGCTCAACAAATGGTCACAAATGATACACACACATTTTGACTTTGGGGTTTGCAGATTCATGATAATGAGCTGCTTTTTACTTCCTTTTATATCTACCTTTCCCTCAACATTTGAATTCTTATTTACTTCTACCTACACACATCTATTTTTACTACATAAAATTTTACTACATAAAACTCTCACATTATTGTAACTCTTTGATGTAGTCATCCATCTCTTCATTTATTCAACAGATACAGTCATCATCACTTGCATGTGCAAAGTATAAACTATATAGTTTAGTGGGATTCCATAAAGAAATTCAGAAACGAGTCCTATCCTCTCAGAGCTTATGGTTTATAAGAGGACACAAAACGTGTATGTAAGTAAATATGATGCCTTCCTAATTTATTAGTATGGTATGAAATGTAATATAAAATATAATTGCGTGTGTGCGCTCAGTCGGGTCCCACTCTTTGCAACCCCAAGGACTGTAGCCTGCCAGGCTCCTCAGTCCATGGGATTTGCCAGACAAGAATACTGGAGTGGGTTGTCATTTCCTCCTCCAGAGGATCTTCCTGACCCAGGGATTGAACCTGCAGCTCCTGTGTCTACTGCATTGGCAGGTGGATTTCTTTACCACTAAGCCACCTGGAAATCATAGAGGTTACTTTCATTTGGAAAGTCAGCTTTTCAGAGGGGTGGTTTCTGACCTGAGCCTTGAGAGAGCTTTGCCGAGATAATGATGAGTAAGGTCACCTATTTCACACCAACTCCTCAATTATTATGTGATGAGTTTATTTCTAAACAATCCGGGGCTTCTTTAACCTGCTTCATTTCCATTCATTTAATTATATCAGTAATATTTCAGATTCTAAGAAAATAAGTTAGCCGTTGCCTATATGACTATCTTCCCCTTGCTGTACACACTTTGCTGTCCTGACCAAAATCAGCAACTTAAACATACACGTATAAGATAAAAATAAACCTTACTGCACTTTTTAAAAGATTGTTCATCTTACTTTATTGCAGTAAGAACACTTAACACAAGATCCACCCTCTGAACACATTTTTAAATACACAATATAGCTTTTTTTTTTTAAACTCTAAGCATTATGTTGTACATCAGATCTCTAAAACATACTCATCTTCTAAAACAAAAAACCTTTTAAAAAAGGTCATTTCCCAAGAACTATATTCCTTACCACTTAATAAGCTTTTCATTTAGGGTTTGTTTATTCCCTCAGTCACTCATTCAATAGACATCAACGGAGTGCCTACAATGCTTAGGCAACAAGTGAGGTGCTCGTGAGGAGATACAGCAAGAACCAGACAGCCTCGGTTCCTGTCTGCGTGTCCCCTGACTGGTAGACGTGTGTTAATTGCTTCACTACAGCCTTTAAAATGCTATCTTTTTTTTTTCCCCTCCTAGACCAATGCCCTGGGCTTTTCCATCAAAATCCATTCTCCAAATGTCACAGGACAAGTCCAACAATTAAATACCACACGACTTGTGTGCAAAAACAGGTTCCCAGTGATGCCATCCAAAAGCAAACCACAGAGGACATTACTTGAACCTTGAAGGATCAATTAACCACTTAACATGGATGTCTGGCTTAAGGGAACTGAAACGGCAGATAGGGAAGAAGCAGTAGGTTTGTACTGGGATTCAAGGGCAGAGAAATTAAGTTTTTAGGAATAACAATTATTTCAGCTTAGGGAATACTGGGCCTGAAAACAGAGTCAAGTATTCCTTTACAGTATTTGATAGGAAACATGAGTCTAGAGAGGGCTAGGATGGGAGCAGAAAAAAGAGAGAGTGCTATTCATGCACCAGACGTGGTGATCAAGGGCATGATTCAAGGTAAAAATGAAGTCTGCATAATAGCAGGGTTAAAGTGTGAGAGGCATATGCGACATAATTACTATTATTATATGATGTTATTTTGGGCTTCTAAAAAATGACGTTTGATAAAAAGAGAGTTCCTGAAGGAGACAAGAGACTCTGTGACCCAGTTTCCCCAGGGAAGATTCAGTAGAGAGAGAAAAATCTCTAAATCTGGGACAGAAGGGAGAGCTGGAAGGACAGTGACATGAAAGTAAAAGGCAAAGCTCCCCAGAGACGGCATCTGTAATAATCTGGGCAAGTAAATGATCCTCCAACCATGAGGGGGTGCAGGGGAAGAATGGAAGCTTTAGAAAAATGAAAGAACACTCATACCCCACTGGAATACATGGGAGTTCATGGGCAGAACAGAATTAATATCCAGTTGGCAGCAGTAAAATGGGAAGAGCATGCATGATGATGGATCAGGTTAGTGCCATTCAGGGTGCTCCCCACACCATGTCTGCAACTATTTTGGAAGCTAAGGCAGTAGACAGGAGAAGGGAGAGGAGATGTAAATAACAGTGCCCTCCCAGTCCTATCCTCCTGGTCTTCCTTCTCCCCGAGGCCTCCACAGACCCACACAACCCCAACCTCAGGTATCTATCCCTGGCTTGTACTCAGTGCGTCCGGGGTTCTGGACTGTGATGAGGCACAATGAGGACCAGTCATGTGGCAGGTGGCACCTTACCTTGATGCTTTCCCTCTCCTGACTACAAGGGATTTTGACCTCTACTCCTTTTCCTTAAAATAGCAGGGAAATGTTTTTGGTTTGCACTTGATTGAGCATTTAACAAATGAGATACGTTTCCTATCATGTTACAATAACTACAGTGAATTGAAATTGGTTTTATTTATACTTCTTCTATTTTATTTTAGTCCTACTTTGCTCTATTCCCCTTGTTTATTTTCTGGCCTCAAAAATAAGCACTCAGGAATTCCCTGGCGGTCCAGTGGTTAGGACTTTACACCTTCACTGCTGAGGATGTGGGTTCAGTCCCTTGTTAGGGACCTAAGATCCCACAAGCTATATGGTGTGGTCAAAAAAAAAAAAAAAATACTCAATTGTTAATGTTTTGTATAACTCCTATACTAGATGGATCCACTAATCTGGAGTAACACTGCTTGCCTTTCAAAACTTGAGAATGCACAATTCAATGTAACAGTTTCAGCTGACATACTGACATCAGCTTGATAGAAGACAATAAATTCTGGCATCTAGGATGCTATGTAGTTCCCGTTATATCTTTTAACTTGAATTCTAAAAACTTACCAATGTACAAAAGTAACAGTGTTGATAGAAGCCACAATTACACTTCTTGAAACTCTCTCTCTTTCTCTTGCAACATACTGAAAACCAAGAAACATGCTTATTTGCTTTAAGACAGATTCTGAAGTATATCGTGATCTGGGCATTGTAAAGGGCAGTTTTTACTTTTCTCTAAGTACAGGAGCATAAAGCTTACAAAATTGGGTAGGAAGTTTACTTTCATAATATTATTATAGGGAGGACTTCAACACAGTCTCCTCAATTAGTTAAAAAATTCTCTATGCATATGCAGATACATATACAAAAAATGCTTATATGTGCTGAATATGTGAATGCATACACATGCAACATGATATAAGAGAAAATAACATGCCAAATGGAAAAACCATAACTGAATGTAAAGTCAAAGTATTGGTCCTGGGCAGTATGTGGAAAGAGTAAAATGGTGATCAGAAGTCAACTATCATAAGAGGAAAGGTATCTTAAAACAAATTTTGTATCTGGCTTTAAAAAAATACTGAGTAAGTTGAAATACGTTAAAGGCTCCAAAATCCAGAGTGAGGTCAAATATATGAAGTGTGAAAGAGAAAAGCACTGAAAATATCTTAACTAGGAGGTGATATCAAGAATGGGGTTTACAGAAGGAGACGAAGGTGGAATTTAGAAGGGCCAAGGAAGGTTCTGTGGCAGCAGCTCAGAGAAGATGAAAATAATCACTGCTGCTAAAGAAGGAACTAGGCATGTCTTGGTTATAGTGTGGGAAAGAGGAGGGGAAATGTGCCTCCCAAGCTCCAGGACCAGGAACACGATGAGCAAGATTCTGCTGCTTATAGAAAAAGAGGGCGCACCCTAAGAAGGGTCAGGAAGACAATTCTGTGAAGGTATTTCACAGGTAAGTGGAGATGTGGGACTGAAGAGACAATGGGAGATCAGAAATGGAGCTAAAAGTGGGAAGACATTGATTAGGAGCTGCCATCGTGAGGGTGAAACACTTCTTAAAAGATGTTATGAGCACATGCATGGTATGCGAAGTGGCGAGGCCAACCTTACTGATGAACATCTCTAGTAAAATGAAGTACCTTATTTCATTATCCTCTTCATTAATCTGTCTGTTTTCAACTGTCCTTGTAAGATTTGGTTGTTTCTTCTGGGAAAAGAACAATGATATGTATTATAAAATTATCATGTCCTATTTAAGAGGTAAATAGTCTCCACTTCCATGTTTTTGTCAGCAGGCAACCTATGAAAATACTTTTGCAGTAAGAACATTATGAAAAATGCATGGTACTATCAATCAAAAGTTTTCAGGATGTTGGAGATGAAAGAGTAGTAAGGAAACTGAAAGATCTAAATAGTAATCAAATTAAAAAGACATTTCAAAAAGGGGACTTGCAATCATTTAGCACATTTAAAAATTTCAGACAGGCTTCAATGAGAAGAGAACATAAGAGTAGAAATCCAAAAATAGCAGATCATACAAACGGCATTTCTAGCTAATTTTAAGCACATCATATATTTATTCCTTTTTATATTTAGTTCAGACTAATAAAACCAGTTTTCATTTTCTTAAGTATGTATTCTCAATTAGAGGAGTGGTCTTCAAAACATAAGGAGGAATGGGGGATCCTTTCTAAGGTTTATATTCTGTGGAGGCTATAATTTAAGACATATCCTATCTTACTGTTTTCTTGGTAGGATCCTTTCTTAGAAAAGGGCAGTTAACCATTTATGTAATGTAGAATGAATAAATAAATATGCAAAGTTTTTGATTAAGGGGAGAAAAAAAAAAAGAATAGCAACACTTACCTTCCAGTATAAGGCCCCAAAAGCAAACCCGATCACAAGAGAAAAGAATGCTGGCAATGCTACGGCTGCCCATTGTAGGTTGGAATCTTCAGTGGAATTTGAGGCCTTCCCTGTAATTTAAACAGTACAGTGGTGAACACCACATACCCATATCCATGCCAGAGGTTTTGCTCTTAATGCTGTGGTTGTTCCCAACTGTTTCTGAAATGTACTCTGGACCTATCTGTTTAAAATATTTAACATACTGATTTTTCTGCTTTCAATACAAGTTCATGTAGTTTCTGAAAGATATAAGGTGAAAAAGAAACCCCACAGGCAGAAGGCTGCCTGACTTGGTTAATGTGGACCCATAGGGAACACAGATAACATATACCTGAAAATTATGTCTATCTAATCAAGCAAATCCATCTTCTATGCCTTTATCTTCTAACACCTTTTCACTTTTTTACACATCACATTTTGCCAAGAAAATCTAAAGATGACATTCTGCAACCTGATCAAGGTCTTGATGCATCAAGCTATGTCTGGCTTGTCTCAAATTTTAATATCTGAACATTATGCTTAGGGTATTCTCAGGGACCTCAAGCTTAGAATTACGGTGTCTCTTCATTGCATTTACTGGATACCAAGTTGGCATTTACTGGATACCAAGCAGTGCATTGCACTGTGCTGTGGACTAAAGGTTTCAATTTTTCAGGCTTTCTATGCTAGAAAGCCAGAGACTACTGAACAGGGAAGAATGGCTGGAAACACCAGTGTTTCCCCATGTAACTGAGAGAGAAAACCTGCACATGAAATCAACTTGGGACATCTCCCTTCATCCTGCTTTGATATTTCTCGAGAAGCAGAATGATTCAGGAATTAAACAATAAAACTTCCCTAAGGGCCTCTTGCTCCCATCACAAAACTTAACATTTTGACAGATTTTTCCTTTCTGTCTCCTTACAAGAAACAACTTCCTTGTTTGAGAACATGGACACGTGTGTGTCAACTTCTAAGAGTTAAACTTTCAGTTCTCTTTGGAAGATGTAATCCATTTATAAATTATATACTTTGAGCAGTCATATGATCAAAATGTAAGCCAATTAAGTACAAGTGACTGTTTTGGGCTCTGATATTTGGCAATGATACTTGGGTTACTGTGTGAGCCTACAGTCACCTATTTAATATTAAGTACCTAAAGTACATGATCTAAAAGAATCAAACCACTGTATGTGTATTAGCATTTAAGAGGGAAAAATAAACTTATAGATTTAACCTGAGAGGCAAGAAACAAACCTTATCTATTGTAGTGAGAATAGGAATTGCCCTTCTCCCTACCATTTGTAAACTTGGAACAGAAAACTCACTAATTCTACAATTCTTATGTTTCCAAAGAGGTTCTCATAATAGTAAGTTTGGGTGTGCCCTGGGGCAGGGTAGGGGAAACATGGTGAGTAATGGTGCCCCTTATACTTAAAGGAGATTGAGTAAAGAACTGGACTCTTCCATTCATGTAACTATGAATCACTTCCTAAGAGCAGACTGACAGATCTTTTGGCCAACCCCATGGGAAATATGTTTTAGGCATCTTAAAACTCAACATGAATTTTATCACCAATATAAGCCTAAGTTATAAAATGGGATTTGGCATAATTGAAGGAACACTATTATTACAATAATAAAGCTATTTAAGGGTTATATAAGATTATATGTGCTTGTCTGAGATTTTGCTACTATTTATAAAAGTGACTTCTTTGAGGAAATGTGTTTGGAGTTACAGGCAATTCTGGCCATTTTAGAAATGTTTGTATCACTATTGGTAAATAATAATTTGGGTATTTGTGTTTGTATTCCAGTGACATGTTCGAATTCCCACTGATGGCCAACACTGTCTATTTTGATTGCTGGCATGTGATTATGATTTGGCCAAGTGACTTATCCAGACATATACAGAGAACAAAGAAAGCTATGAATATTCTGTCCCCAGACTCAGTGGAAAACTAACCAGTGGGGATGGTGCTACAGAGAACTCCAATGCCTATGTTTGAGCAGCCAGATGCCCCAGAGTCAAGGCAGCTAACCATCTGTTCTTCCTGTTCTATCCAAAGGTCAAATCTTGAAGTATTATTAGTCAGACCAGATGAAGATCATAGCCACCAGCAGTAAGCCGAAAGAACTTGTTACAGAGTGAGTTGCTCTGGGATTCCCCACTCTAAATCTTTCTCAGCTAGGAGGACAGCCCCCAGGGGAGGTGTTGCAAATAAAGCCAAGCTGGAGGAGCAACTGAAGAAAGCACACCTCGCTCTCCCAGAACACTGTGACTTGTTAACCAAAGTCCTACCCCTAGGACAGTGGCCCTGAGCAAAGTTCTGGACTTTGACTAACACCTAGCACCAGGCCTCCTGTATGAGAGAGAAAAGGAGATAGGAGGTGGTCAGATCCACAGGAGCTGATGTCACCTTCTACAGAGGCGTCACTTCCTTATTTCTACTCTTCATGTAAATGGTTTCACAGCTGGGCCTTGGGTCCTCTTCAGTGATCCTGCCATCCCTCTTCCAGGAGAGAAAATCTACTGCATTAGAAAAGGCTTGCTTACACCTCCAAGGCATGATTCCCAATACTTGCTACTGCTGCAAGTATTGACCCCCATCAGGGGTCAATGAAGTCTGAATTATGTGCCTCAAGGGCCAAATGAAGGGTGTGCATGTGTGCTAAATCACTTCAACTGTGTCTGACCCTTGCCACCCCATGGACTGTAGCCCACCAGGCTCCTCTGTCCATGGAATTCTCCAGGCAAGAATACTGGAGTGGGTTGCCATTTCCTACTCCAGGGGACTTTCCCAACCCAGGGATCGAAACTGTGTCTGTCTCCTGCATTGGAAGGGGCATTCTTTTCCACTAATGCCACCTGGGAAACATAAATGAAGGGTATTGGGTCCAAAGTGTTGCTTTTATATAAAAATGCTTCTAAGTTTATGGGGGTGGGGAAGCTCATCTGGACAGGATTTGAGTAATCCTGAATTCCTGAGTTCTTATTAGTTGTTCTCATTATTATGAAAACTGTTCAGTGTTCAAAATTGGTGGGAACTGACTTGTGTGGTTTGACTAATAATGCCAGACATCTGTACAAACACAGACCACAAAAACCTGTGCTACAGTTCTGCTGAGTTTCTTTGTAGAGTGAGTCTGCTTATGGGCACCATGCCCATGAATATGTCTCTCTTCTCGATCCTTAGAAAACATGCAACTCAGTACTCTCCCCTTGATTCAGAGCTCACCGAAGGCTCGTCACTTACTGACCAGGCCTTGCTGCCTCTTAATTGTTCTAATAACTCTTGATGAACATGTACTATGCATCAGGCATGGTGCTAAGTACACATGTGCTAACTCATTTAAAACTCAAAGAAAACTTATGAAGGAAAGATCATCAACCTCAGTTTGATCGAGGAGTCCAGAGCAATTAAAACACTAGCCCAAGATCACACAGCTAGCCAAGGGCTAGAGCTGGGCAGTGGTCATTCTAGAAGATGTGTAAGGTGATGTCAAAGTAACGATCTTCTCTCTGTCATTTAAATATATTTTCTGTAAGGATCGCAAACTTAAACATTTTTACAACACACTTTAGCTTGGTACAAAGAATATTACCATTACTTTGAAAGCACAATTTCCTTTGGATAACTTTTACATGTTTACCTTATCCCATGAGTCTCCCTTATAAGCTACAGAGAGGGCACTTACACCTCTGGACTGCTCCATCATACGCCATAGTCCTCTGACAAGTATGGCAACAATTGGGGTCTTATCCCTGAAAACAGCACGGTTTCTTCAAATTTCCCTGACCATACGCCCCAAAACTTCTTACTTTCCTTATGCTATAACTAAAGACATTTACATACTTCTATTAAAAATAGTATAAATAACAAAATATGAATATTTTTATTTGTGTCTGCTTCTCTTATGAGACTATACACTCCATAACAGCTAGTCCTATCCATGGGTATCTAAATGCCATATTCATGAGTGAGAACACCTAGCCAAAAGCTGCTGATCGATCATGCAAGACCCACTTTTTTTTTTTTAAAGAAGAAAGGGAGAAAAAGGGAAACAAAAACAAGTCTGGTCATTCACATTGTCGTTTAAAAACTACCAATAATCTCAAAGGTATAGGACCAAACAGGTGTTATATATTCAGTTGTCATGTAAGTAGGAAAGATTTTGCATTCAACCCTGATGATAGCAATTTAACCTTCTCAACATAAATAATTATCATACTAAACAAATCATACAAGGCAACTACTTTCAGACCTTGACCAAAAGGCAATGCGAGAGTGTAATTCCTGGGAAAGGGAAAATGCAAGTGATAAGACCTACAACTGTCCCGATTTGCTGGCTGGGTGACAGCTTTTGACTTAGTAGCCTCACTGCGATAGGAAATCAGAGAATGAAGCTTAGGGCTGCCGCCTTAGCTGAAGGCAGGGCGGTTTGTGAGGCAGGGTTATTTTGGGGAGAGGAACTATGCAGAAAAGAAGTGCTACAAGTGTCTGGAGGAGACTCAATCATTGGCTGAATAATAAGCTATACATGCATAGGGAGAAACTTCACAAAAGCTGGCAATAAACAGTGTCTAGGAAACCATCACTTAAAGACCCTAGCAGTCAGTTCAGAGACAAAGTTCTGACAAGCAAGAATGGAGAGATTTTCTAGGCATTCAAGAAATAGCTCAGCGACCCCATGCCTTAGAAATAAGGCTACTCTCCCTCCACCCTCTAAGAAAGCTTAAAGAAAAAAAGAAAAAAAGAAGCCTAGGAAGGAAGAGAAAGCTGATCTGCTAGGAACTGAACTAACTGCCTATCAGAACAAAACAGTCACTGAAGGAATGCTACAAAATCCAGATATTCAACAACATAGTACCTATAATATCCAGCATATGTTCAAACATTACTAGCCATCTAAAGGAAGATGTGACCCACAATCAGGAAGAAAAAGAAATCAGTTAATAGAAACCATGATGGGATGACCTACATATTGAAATTTGAAAACAGGAACTTTAGATTTGCTATTGTAACTATATCCAAGAGCCGAAAAAGAAAATATTGTTATAATAAATATGCAGATGGAAAATCTCAGCAGAAAAATATAAAAAAGAATCAAGTGTAAATTCTAGAACACAAAGTACAAATTTAGAAATGAAAAAAATGCACTGGATTCAATCCCATAGAATGGATAGCACCAAGAGTGAGCCCTATGTAAACTATGAACTTTGAGTGATATGAGGTGTCCATGAAGATTCCTCCATTGTACAAATGCACCACTCTAGTGGGGGATGTTGATAATGAGAGAGGCTATGCATGTGTGGCAGGGAGTATGTGGAAAATCTCTGTCTATTCACCTCAATTTTGCTGTAAACCTTAAACTGCTCTAAAAATATAGTCTTAATTAAAAAAATTAATGGAAAAAGGAAAACTTACTGGAAGAAAAATTTAGCAGATGACAGAAAAGCCAGGGAACTTGAAAATAGGTTGAAATTATTCATCTTGAAGATTAAAGAGAAGTTGGAAAAAAAAATGAACAAAACTTCCATGATCTGTGAGACTGATTTTATCAATAATATATGTGGGATTATTATGTGTGTGATTGTACGTATGTGTGATTCTTAAACTTACATATCCAAGAAGCTTGCCAAACAAGAAAACCACTCCTAGGCGCATCTTATTTAAACTCCTAAAACAGAAGTAAATTTTGAAAGACAGGGGGGAAAATGACTCAGTACATATAAGGAAAAACATCATATAAATGCTGGCTGCCTTTTTGTCAGAAACAATAGAAGCAGGAAGACAATGGAGTGACATCTTTAAAGGACTCAAAGAAAAAACTCTGTTAACCGAGAATTTCGTATCTAGTAAAAAGCACCTGCAATACTGAAGACAAAGACATTTTTCTATTAAAAGAAAAAGAATTTGTTGGCAACAGATCTGCACTACACAAAATGCTAAAGGAAGCTCTTCAGCCAGAAAGGAATTAGCGCTAGACAGAAACTTGGATTTACAAGAGGAAATGAGGAGTAACAAGAAATAATAAATATGTGGGTAAATGGAAAATAACTTTTTTTCCTTCTTTTTAAAAGATGGGTTTAAGCAATAATTTTAAGACTGCACTGTGAGGTTTATAACCTGCGTAAATATATATGTCAGCACAGCACAAAAGATGGTTATAGGCAAGTGGAACTATCCTATTGCAAGATTCTTACATTGGTTCTGAAGTGCTAGGACATTAAATAAAGTTACAAGTTAAGATGTATATGGTAATTCCTAAAGCAACTACAAAATGTCAAGAGGTGCTGTTAAAAAGACAACAGAGTAATTAAAATAGAGCACTAAAAGTCAATCAATCAATGAACACAAAAGAGGGCTGGAAAGGAGGAACAGGGGATCAGTAAGCATGTGGTGCCAATAACAAAATTGTCGGCCTACATCTAACCACACCGATAACTGTATTCAATACAAAATGGATGAAACAGACTAATTAATGAAAATAAGGGACTAGATAAAATAGCAGGGCCCAACTGCATCCTGTCTATCAGAGATATACTTTCAAAATAAAGATAAGAAGAAAAACAATAAATATGAAAACAGTAAATATAAGAAAGGCTGCTCTACCAATGTCAAACAAAATATGCTTCAAGAGCTCTAGCAGAGTTAATAAGGAATATTTCAGGAAAATGTAAAAGTCAATTACTCAGGAAAGATATAACAAAAATAAATATTTAAGTACTTAATAATAGAGCTGCTAAGTAGGTGAAGCAAAAACCTTAGAACCAAAACAAGAAACAACCAAACCCACAATCAAAAGGAAAGATTTTTAATGCCCCCTCTCAGTAAACAATTAAAACTTTGACAAAAAATGTAATAAGGACAGAAGATCTGAAAGTTATCAACAACTTGTATCAAATTTCAGAATGCTACACCTGAAACTTTAATATTCATAAAATGTCTCAATAAATTTCACAAGACTACAGTGTATGTTCTCTGACAGTAATGGAGTTAATTTAGAAACCAATAATAAGATATCTAGAAAAATCACATATTTTTAGACAACAAACAACCCACTTTTATATTCCCACGAACAAAAGAAGAAATCAAAAGGAAAATTATTTTTAAAGAAATATAATGGAAACACAATATATCAAAATATGTGGAATTCAGCTAAAGCTGCTTTTAAGGAAATTTATACCTTTAAGTGCTTATTTTAGAAAAGAAGAATACTTTAGAGTCAATGATCTAATTTTTCTACCTTGAGAACTTAAGAAGTTAGAACAAGTTGAACAAATTAAACCCAAGGTAGACATAGGGAAATTATAAAAGGTAAGATTATAAATCAGTGAAGTACTAACAGAATTGTAGAAGTCAAAAATCACTTCTTTGAAAAGATTAATAAAATTCTTAGTAAGAAAGACCTTAACATATATAATGTCTTCAAATTTTTCAAATCCAATGGGTATTCAGAATTTTAGATTTCAGAATATTTCTGTCCTATAAATATTATATATTATATAATATCCTCAATGAGATATGAGTAGCACCCTATAGTCAAACGCATTAATACTTCTTAGTGAAAGGCATACCCACTTTTAGAGGGTAAAGATTATAAATAGCCTCATCAAGTCAGGTTTTGGTGGCAAAATGTCCCAAACAGATTGGATTTTAGAGGTTTTCCTTTTAATTTCTGAATTGCAGCATTGCTGTTGTGGGTTTGTATTAAATTGATTACTCTTTTTTACAGAGAGGTCTTTGATGCTCTTGAACATATGAGAGTGTCCCATTACTAACTTTTAAGGGACGATCCTCTCAGCTAAGATCACAGGATGGATTTTTTCCTCCAACAGCATCCATGAGACTAGAGGGTCAGAATATTTAGTAAATCCAATGACGCTTATAGTGACCTCTGCCAAGGGAGGTAAGTTTAGTCTGTCAGTTGTGTCCGACTTTTGTGACCCCAAGGATTGTAGCTCACCAGGCTCCTCTGTCCATTGGATTACATTTGGGGAAAAAAAAGGACATCAGACTTCCAGAAAACTGGATTCTTCTTCACGAACAAGGATAGAAATTTCAGAGAAAGAAGCATATTGTCCCCCAACATATAATTTTATAGTAAAATTTTTTAAAAATCATCAAATTTCCAAACATACAGTAGTAAATAGTGTTATACACAACAAAACAGAAGATATCCTTGGAATTTTACACAGCCAGCACCTGTATTTTCCATTTTAAAATTCCATTTTTTGTCAGGCAAATTCCATGCAGAATATATTTTGAGTCAACAATGAAAAAAGCTTAAGTCATCTAAAAGTAATTTCATGCCTTATTGAAAACTATCTTAGCAGAAAATTTATTACCCCAATTAAACATTATCTCCAGCTTTAGGGAAATCCAATTGTGCAAACCTAATTATTTAATTCTCAGGAAAATCATAAGAGGAAGAATAGTAAGAGAACAGAATTAATAGTGGTGATTGCAGAAATTTCCTTTAAAGCTCATGCAATACTCCTAACAGAAGCTAACTGGAGCCATGCATGCATTAAATTAGACATATGTACTTACTATTACTGCTACCGCTGTCATTCCTAAGGGAGCTGGCTGCAACAGGGGGTAACAGAAATGGTTTTGTGACACTGACTCTGGAATCTAAATAGAAAGCAATAATGTGTCAGTGTTGCATGGCGATGTACATAAATTAAAGAGTCCTCAAAAGGTGAAGTGCAATATTAGAGTACTTTCCAGGCCTGCTTCCCAAATCCTATTTATTCAGATCCTATTTATTTTATACTGGGTCCTGCTATTCTATTTTTATTAAGAAATTCACCAAAGTCACCTTACAGGACAAAGATTCACTGTCTACACACGCTAATAAATGTAAATAATGCAAACGGTTGGCAATTGGTCACTTTTTCAAACTAAGTAATGAAATTAAAATTTTGTATCATAGGGATGGTAGCGGAGAGGAAGTCTCAGCACAGGGTAAGTGGTGAAGATGAGAATTCATGACTCAGAGTTAGACCCTTAAGAAAAAGATTTGAGAAGGGGACATTAAGAAGACTGGAAGTGAAGAAGAATATAATTGTAATATTACTAGTAAATATCAGGTGAAAATGAGTGACTATCTCATATCATTTACTCATGCGCAATTCTGTACTTTGAAGATGGTTAAGTGTTGTCTGGGCTTGAACACCAACAGATATGTAACTGTTTTTTTCTTTCATGCCACTGATATTTGCTTTTATATTAGACATACACACACACATGTCTTTTTTCTATCTACATATATATTTGAGTCAGAAGTAGATTCTTACCTACACATAAAAGATTCAATCTTGCTTTTTACATTTATATTAGGAATGCTTGTATGTCTTACCTTTTTCAGGACTTGATGTTGAGGAAATCACACATTCACTCATTTTAGAAGCCACTATCTCCAAGTCCTTGAAGGCATCGATGGATTTATTAAAAATTCCAAAGAATTTCTCAGGAGTAAACTGCCTGGGTTCTGGGTTCTTAGATGATTTTTTTACATTCTAGAAGAAGGAAAAAAAAAAAAAAAGACAAGATTAGGTTTTTCAAATAGTCTGCAGATTTAACTAATGTCAAAGTAATAGACTACAAATATGTCCTTGACAGATTCAAGTGAAACCGACACTTTTAGACAACTTTTTTTTAAAGTAACATTGTTAATATTTTAGGAACATAATCTATTGAGTTAAATTTGAATTAGATTTTTAAATCTTTTTTTGCCTCTCCACAGGGCATGCAGGATCTAGTTTCCCAACCAGGGATCAAACCTGCACTCCCTGCAGTGAAGCCCAGAGTCTTAAACCACTGGACCACCAGGGAAGTCTCTAGACAACTGTTTTACAACTCATAATTCAAACTGGCACTATAGGACAAATGATTCTATGCAGTTCAGTCTGGGACTCAATTCTGGATAAAAGGAAGAGGGTGGTGGTGAGGGTGAATAAGGTGAAAGCAACATCATAACAACGAAATAATCCTAACAACAAATTACAAACTGTTGTCTTTAGAGATGTTCATTAAAATCATTACTTCTCATTAAAAATATACATAACACATGCTCCAAATATGCACTAATTAAAAAGTCTAATGATGATAAATACTGGCAAGGACATGGAGCAGAAGGGGTCTCTTATATACCAGTAGAATGACATAAATTGGCACTTTGATATTAGTAAGGTTGGACATGCTCCCATCCTATGACCCAGAAATTCCACTCCTAGGTAACTATAATGAAACTCTTGCAAGATGTACCAGGAGGCATATTAAGAAAGTTCTTGCCAGCAGTGTTTATAAATTCTTACACCACTCAACAGGAGAGTGGTTTAATAAATAGTGGTATATTGAATCAATGAAATGTTCTATGAACAGTAAAAAAAAAAAAAAAATCAACTACAACTTTAATAATCAATGTGGATATCTTATAAACATAATGTGGAGTGAAAGAAGCAAGTCTCAAAAGCATAAAAAGAGTATGATTTTTCTATAAAATCCCCAAACAAGTCAAAGCTATATTTTAGGAATTCAGAAATATATGAAAAGTGAAACTCGCTCAGTCGTGTCTTTGCGATCCCATGGACTATACAGTCCATGGAATTCTCCAGGCCAGAATACTGGAGTGGGTAGCCTTTCCCTTCTCCAGGGGATCTTCTCAAACATAGTTATCTAAAAATAAAGTCAGGTAATAATAATTAGAGTTAACACCTATGTACCACTTACTATGTACTACTCTAAGTGTTTTATATATGTTAACCTCTGAAACAACTGAGAAATACCACCTGGTATGAATCTCTTGGGTTCTAGCCAAAGTGCCATGGTTAGTAAATGTACACTTTTTGGTATCTGGAATGCTCTTCTAGATAAATTGTCATTTATTGACCAATTAATTCATCTTTCAGTCATATCTTATTTTCCTCACGACACCTTGTCTGGTATACTTTACTTTTTGTGACCTCTACTTATCATTGCCATTAGTATTTCATTCATACTGATATGATAAAAAGGGATGCTAACTCTAAGATGTCATTGATTATAAGATACATTCTGATTGGGAAATTAGAAAGCAAAACAGTAGAAATGATGAATTAGTGATTAGGTTACTGGCATTATGAGGATTTTAAGATTGGAGAGCACAAATGGGATGGAGGTTGGGTCTTAGAGAGTGACTGGAATTTGAATGGAGAAAGACTATTACTATACAGCATCATGGTTAAAGCCTTAGGTTTGAACTTCAAGAAGGCCTGTAGGCTAAACCTTGGCTTGTGAACTCTATGCCAAAACAGGTGTCCCAAGAGGTCATTTATTATATAGACACAGTGTTATAAAATTTAAAAAAAAAACTGTTAACATTTTACTTTGCCAAATTTGGGGCTAAAAATTCATCATTATCATGTAACATCAACTCCTCTTATTGTCCCCATTTTATACGTAAAGAAGGTGAGCAAAGCTATTACTTGAACAAAGCCAGGATTTGACCTCCAGCATCTCATCCTTAATCTCTAGTGGGTACATGGCTTCTTTATATGCTTTGAACTCAAAGCACTGACAGACCCATACTCTGAAGTGACAACTAATCATCAAATGACCCAAAGATGTTAAAATGCACTTCTTTGTTGTGATAGTATTACTATAGATAAGAGATCAAGTGTTCATTATAGGCAATTTTCCATTTAAAGGTAAATGAACATTGGTAGAACCTTATCCATGAAATAAAGTCAGGGTTGTTTTTATAAGTGCATTGTGAATACATTTTATTTTTATATTAAGTGACAACATTTAATTGTCTTAGAATACATTTCAGTTGTGATATAACTATAAACATTTATTCTCTGTGCTCATCTTCAAAATTTTTTAAATTACACATTTATAAACTAAAAATCTCACAAACACGTCCCCTGCCACCACCAATCAGCCATAGGTTACAGAGACAAGTAATAAAAAGCAGTCCCAATACAAAGTTACCTCAGATGAGTGTTCTTCCATGCACTCCACAAGGTCATCAACTATTTTCACAAGTTTGTCTATGATAGAATAATTACTCAAGCCTTCAGAAATATTTGAAAACTTGTCCAAAAGATCCGTCAAGCTGACTGACAGTTGTTCCACCATCTCGCTTATCCAACAATGACTAGGCTGTAAGAAATTAAATGAAAAGAAGACAAAGCACCTGTTTTAAGTATAGTCACTGACTGCTGGACAAAAGATTTCCTTATATCAGAACAGGTTAGTTCTTAGGTTCTGTTTAAGTCATATCTAACAGCTGTTTCAAAATTTCCAAATGCATAAAGATCAGAGGAAATTGTTGATGGTAAAGATTTTGCCCTTCCATGGAAATAAAATTATGACAGAGCCCTTGACAAGGTTCAGATACTGTGAAATTTAATTCTATGGAAGCATATTTATTTCTCACTTACTTATTCTAAAATGAATTTTAGACCCAGAGAAATTTTAAAAAAAGTTATAGTGGGAAAGATTCCTATTCTTCAAAGAACTTCCAGTCTTTTGGGGAATTGTAATATGAATTAGTGGATCAATAATAGCTTATTTTTCTCAAGATCTTGATAGATTTCAAACCTTCTTCATAGCTGAGTTTCTGTGGGTGTTAAAAAAAAAAAATAGCCCTGACAGAATGTGGTCTGAGAGAGAAGCACTTTTGTTTTAGCGGCAGGACCAGGTACAGAATTTGTGGGGCTAGAAGCTCAAGCCTTGGAGTCAAGCAAAACTGGGTTCAATTCTGACTGAGAGAATCCTGACAAGCTACATTAATTCTCTGAACCTCATTTTGCCCCCCTGTAGAAAGGGGATAATGGAAGTAAGGTAGTTTTGAGGAGATGAGGTATATAATTTGAATGTAAGTTTCATGAGGGTAGGGTTTTTAAATAATTGTGTTCCCTGTGGTGTCCCCAAGACCTAGAATAGTGTCTGGCATGTGGGAGTTGCTCAGAAACTTAGTTGCTTAACTGATATAGAAGTGAAAAAAAAAAGTGAGAAAAAATACTACATAACAAGGGTCCCACATTTTCTGGAAAGGGCTAGATGGCAAATATTTTCAAGCTTTGTATGCTAAGAGGCAAAAATCAAGAATATTGTGTAGGTCCAGTTATACAAGAGAAAATTAATTTCCACCCATTCTTGTTACTGTTTAAAATGTAATGATTATAAATGGATATAATTTCTTCTGCATAATTAATAATTTAGCTTCTTTTTTAACACAAGTTTAGCAATAAGAAGAATGGAATTCTTTATTTTGGGTCAACATTTTTGTTCACTTAGGGTTAAAAGCATTCTCTATTATCAAGTAGACTGTAAATGTTCATCTGTGAAAAGACAAACTTTTTTTAAAATTTTTTTCATTTATTTTTATTAGTTGGAGGCTAATTACTTTACAATATTGTTGTGGTTTTTGTCATAGATTGACATGAATAAGCCATGGATTTACATGTATTCCCCAAGACAAACTCTTTTGTACATGTAATATCAGCAACAGACTGGATCTGGTCTATAGAGTGTAGTTTGCCAACCCCTCTTATACATTGCTGCAGATAAATAAAGGTTTAGATTATTAGGGAAAACTTTCCTAGTATATTAGGATGAATTACAACATTTTTAAAAATGAATGTGACACCACTTAAAATATAATAATTGAAAATTTACATACTTTGTATATTGTAATATTCTGTTCTCTCATAAAGAATTTTGAAGTCTAGGTTCTGATTTATAATTTTAACTCTGTTAAAATGTTATAATGAAAAAAATAAGATAGATATTAGACAAAGGTAAAATGGTCTTGGCTTCTTAAGATCTCACATAATTTTAAATTATTTCTATTGTAATAAAAATACATAATCAGAGAGGGTAACCGATGCCATGTAAAACAAGTAAAACCCACTACACTTTATTTTTCTACTTAACAGCAGAATATCTATGTGGGAGAAAGTCATGTAAATCGTGTTTTCTAAATTATATAAGAGAGTCATTTTATATTTATTTAATAGAACAATTTCAATTAACATGACCCAGCCAAAGAGGAAACTGGTTTCTCTACAGATAGGTACGTTGCAATTTCTGGAAGCATTAAATGCCATTCAAAACTTTTAGGGAGTGTTGGCTCTGGCTTCAGATAAGTAGAATAAACAAACTCCTAGTGGGAATTAGTTCAATTTGGCCATTTCATTTGACTCTCCAAGCAAGTTCTCAAAGACTTAAGTGTTTCCAAAATATGCTGAGAATGAACTCTTTGTTATATAAAATTGATGCTTATCTAAAGCACATGCAAGTTCATATTTGCATCATTAACAAGTCTCTTTACAAGCTGTCAGTCTTTCTTTGGAGGCTGATTGCTCTCCCAAGGTTCCCTCCATTTAGACAGCAACCCATTGCCTTTAGATAAGTCATCCCTATCAGCAAGGGGCAGATTTCCTAGGATATGGGAAACAGTACATTCTGTAAATACTACTTTAGTAGCATTTATATGGTAGAACAGCCTTCACCTGTTAGTTCATCCCACTGAAATAGTGCAAATTTTTCCATGGCAAGTACAGCTCATGTATTAATCTTTTCAAACTCTGTCCTTGCTCCACTTTATGAATAAGCTCACCTGTCCTTCTCTCTGATCCTCTGATGTATAGGAACCAAAATCAAATTCCCCTATTCTGAATTAAGGTACTGTGGTCTGTGCCTTAAATGAACAGGTAGGTTTTTACTTTTGCTTTCTGTCTGTTTGTTGCTTTTTTTGTGGTTAAAGCAGAGAGGAGCTTGTTTATATGTTTCTTAGTTTTAAACTGGGAACTCTGGGGTGCTTGCTGTCAGTTCTGTTTATCTCTATCTTCAACTGAACTCTATGTTTACATTCCTCATTCAAGTTCTTATTTAGCTATGACTGCTTGCCCCATGGCCACCCACCCTTGTTTTCACATACCTAATCAACAGTCCAAGCAATCAACTTTTCCCAGAAACATTTTCAACCCTAAACCTGTAATTTCTTACTGTCAAATCATGGAAATCCTATAATCGAATCCTAGCCCAATATCTGCCCCTTTAAGGTTATGAAAAATTCATTGATATTTGACATAAACATCGAGACTACACTGCTGAAAACTACATTTCTAAACACCTTTAACTGTATTTCATTCATTATACATTCTTGCATAATTTTATTGGAAAAGACTATATAATCAATTCAAAGTTATTTCTTTTCACTAATCTGTTTAAAAGCTATATTTTAGCTTTTAAAGTTTATTGAATTTAGGAAAGATAAAACTGAGGTAAACAATATTAAATATCAGCCAGTTTTAACTTGTCTGCCTACAAGAAAGGAAACCAGCCTTGACTAGAACATCAAGCAGTGATGCATTTCCTTTTTAATTAAATGTAGTCAATGATTTCCAGACAGCAAAACACAGTGACCTAAATATTTCATTTGTGAGATGATATGAAGTCTGTTTTTCAACTCTCACAAGATTATTATGATTAGGAAATAGATAATTAAAAGTGTGCAGTTCACAAATTTAAATTTTTCCTTTACCTTAACAAACAGGCATTACTGTCACTTATCTTTCAGAGACCATTTTAAACTAGTTTTATATTCATAGCTATTAACTCACAATATATATTAGAAGAATGTAAGATATAAATGATGTTCTCTATTTCACTAGAAGAATGTGAAAGATCAGTAAAGTTGAGTCAGACAGGACGTCAAAGAGGATGTAAAGAGTATGTTTCAAATTCCTGAAGTACGTATAATGTAATGTTTTATTCACCCATATACACACAAAAAGAAATATAGTTTTTTTGCTGTGAAAGGGAAAACTTGTCTGGATTTTCCTTAACTTCATACTCTTAATTTCTTACCTTCTTTTTTGGTAGCCTCTGTCTTACATTTTCTGGATCAATTATAACAGCTCTATTTAGGATTATTAGGGCAACATATGCTTTCTATTCATGTTTGTGTGTGTATATATAAATGATATATAACATGTATCATTCTAGAATGCTAACTGAATTAAATCAGTGTCCTTGACCTGCTCGCATGCCACCACCACAGAAGATCTGGGTAAAAACTATGAACTTCCTAAGGATTTTAAAGTACCATAAGCACCAGATTAATGATCAGATTAAAAAAAAAAAACTATGATTGAAAGCATTCTAAACATAATTAAGAACATGACCATTTCCAAAAACCAATAATGAAAACTCACACATTCACACAAATTTTAAATGGATGATACGTGAATTTCACAGGATGTGTGATATAATATCTCTGCAGACCCAGAACTGGTAAATTTGAGACCGTGGCTGAAATAAAAACATCCGAGAGACTTGCTAAATCTGGCCTGCCTTCTTCTCTCCATCCCCTGCTTCATTTAAGAAACTGTTCTGGTTTATTAGCTGAAAACATTTGACACAGTATTCTGCATCAGTCTTAGATGAAGAGTCTCCAAGAGCAGTCCGGAAGCCTTCTGGTACTAGAATCTGAAAGTGGACAAAACACACGCTAATGTGTCTTCATGGATGTACTTGGCACTGCTTTTCCATTTAGTAACTGTTCTTTGAGAGAGATGTGTCTGCTTCATCAGGAAGCCTCATGGAGTTAAGTGCACTGTGAGGGAATTCTCCACAAAGGAGCTGGGGTAAAATACCCATTAGAGATTCTGAGGGAGCAAAGCCCTGGCTCATAAACTATGAGGCTTCTGAGGAATATTCACAATGAGTCTTCCACCCCATCTTCTAATCCAACTAATCTAATTACCAGCATTACCGCCCAGTTTGATTATGTCTGTTTTGTTTTCTTTACTGTGTGTCAACCTTCAATCTTGCCAGAATGAGAAGTATGAATGTCCGCAGGCTCAAAGCGCTCCTTTCTTTCCTCTTGTGCTTCCAGCATTTACCTCCTGGCTGATCAGTCAAAAAGAATCTAGCACCATGCCACTAGAATTGCGATGGTTTAGATCTGGAAGAAATGCTAAAAGACCACCTGGTCCAGTCCCACCAATTTCATAAATGGGAAAATCAAGGAAGGTCTCGAGCAGTGAAGTGGTTCACCAAGGTTACACAACAAATTTAAAACAAATATTAGAAACCAAGACTTCCAAGTACTTGCTTAGTTCTTTCTCATCAGTAAATACAGTCAAAAC